CCTACACATTTGAACTAAAATAAATTCTGTATCAACCAAAAAGAGCTATGGAAGATTTTAAGTGTTTTTAACCAGGTTTTCCGAAGGAAAAAACTGGTTATTAGATTGAGGTATGTCGGCGGGCGGGCGGGCGGATGGGCGGACGGGCGGGCGGGCGTAAACAATTTCTTCTGTGCGCAACTCTTCCTACATTTTTCAACGGATTTTGATCAAACTTTCACAGAAGCTTTGACATCAAGTGACCTGGCGCATATTGTCGGGGTTTTGTGATTGGATTATATTTGACCTAATTATGGTCCTTTGTTTTTTTTCCTTATATAGAATATATAGTGAATAATTTCTTCTGTGCCCAACTGTTCCTACATTTCTCAATGGATTTTGACCAAACTTTCACAGAAGCTTTGTCATCTAGTGCCCTGGTGCATAATGTCGGGGTTTTGTGATTGGATAATATTTGACCTAATTATGGCCCTTTGTTTTTTTTCCCAATATAGGATATATAGTAAACAATTTTCTGTGCACAACTCCTCCTACATTTCTCAACGGAATTTGACCAAACTTTCACAGAGGCTTTGTCATCAAGTGCCTTAGGGCATATTGTCAGGGTTTTGTCATTGTATAATATTTGATCTAATTATGGCCCTTTGTTTTTTTTTCCTTATACAGATTATATAGTGAACATTTTTTACCATGCGCAACTTCTTCTACATTTCTCAACAGATTTTGACCAAACTTTCACAGAGGCTTCGTCATCAAGTGCCCTGGTGCACATTATGGGGGTTTTGTGATTGGATAATATTTGACCTAATTATGGCCCTTTGTTATTTTTCCTTATACAGAATATATAGTGAAAAAAAATTTCAGTGCTGAACTCCTACATTTCTCAACGGATTTTTTCAAACTTTCACAGTAGCTTTGTCATCCAGTGCCCTGGTGCATATTGTCGGGGTTTTGTGATTGAATAATTTTTTATTTAATTATGGCCCTTTGTTTTTTTTCCTTATACAGAATATAATTATAGTGAACACTTCCTCTGTGGCAATTCCTCCTACATTATTCATGTATTACATTGCACATAGTTACATTGTTTGTTGCTTGTATTTGTATTTCAAATACAACATATTTATCTACAATGGTGATAATTGAAAACCTGGTGTCATGGCATTGCCATGTTTCTTGTTTAGTACTGGAATTGTCATATCATATTAATATAAAATTGTATCATTGTAATACTGTATTATAATATGTGCAAGAAAAAAACGAAAAAGTGGCAGAAATATAATTATTATATATTATATATAAGTATATGATGTACTTTTTGTCAAAGTATGCGCTTTAGTTAATACATGTAAATCAAGCTCATTCTAAACTATACCTTTCATTTTCTCCGTGAAAACACATGTGCATTTGTTGTATAAGCATACAAAAGGTTTGATTATTTTGTAGAAATGTTTGCTTTACAGACTTTGATTTGGACACACCTTTGATGAAATAACTACATTGTTGTACTTTTAAACACAACACATTGGTTTTCACTTGATTAACTGCCAATTTGACACAAAATTTCAAGTCTAATCTAGTATGTAGTCGCTAGCCCGTACATATTGTATTATGTCCCAAGTTACACTAACTCAATACTGTGAAAAATGTAAAACCGACGTTTATGTACATTCTCAATGTATAAAAAATGATAAAATACCTCCTCTTCCTTCGTTAAGACCACCATCACCCTTGATTATATGTCAAGTCCGATTCGGTGCCCCTTACGGTGCCCTGTGCCACAAAATATTATATTTGGTTGCTGTGTTTCATGACCGTCCGAAAAGGCGTGTCCATGTCGTCCTGATAAGTCTTTATTTTAGAACATCAGCCAATAGCCTGTTTTATTAAGATTGGGAATTTTCATCTCATTACCAGATCAAGTAAAAGAAAAAAATGGACGGACATGCTGGATAATTTGCCGTACATTGGCACCGTTTTTCTTTTGAAGGGAAGTCAAGAACGCCACCAAGACCAAGGCGGTGATGGAATTGGACATTGAAAATTATATAAGTTGGCCTTGCTGTCCATAAAACATGAGGTGTCTCGGCTATTTCTCTTAATCCTGCCAGCTCTTGATCATGCTAATGAGCACAAAACAACACCCGGGTCAATGTGTGATCGATGTGTTGTTTTTGTTGTTATAGCTTATAAAATAACATACTTGTCAACAAAGTCCATATTATCGTTTAGGCTTAAACAAGACTAGAGTAAAACGTTTGATATTCACCACCATGAACAACAATGTTACTGCCAAAATAGGTTATAGTGTAAGACAAACCCAACCTGGACAAAGTCGTCCCCATCTAAAAAATGACAAGGTGGTCAAACGTCCCCCATGAAATATACAGGTAGGACATAAGCCCCCCCCCTCCCATGGGGGAAATGCCCCCCCCCCCCCCCCTAAGGTTTAAATACCAAACTGACTACTTTCTTTTTTCACACACCAAGGTGCTCAAATTAATCAAGGTTTACACTTACTTTTACATAAAAATAAAAAGAATTTGTTCTAAATATACATATGCATACATAATAGTAAAGATAGCACTGCAATATGAGTATATGATCAGAAGAAAATGATATAAACAAACACAACTATAATACAAACATGCATACAAAGGTTACAAACATGAAGAGAAATGTAGATGAAGAGGTTTTTGTCCTATATGTAAATTTGATGGACGGAGGGGGTGGGCTTTGTCTTATATGTTAATTCGATGAAGTGGGGCTTTCGTCCTATGTGTAAATTTGATAGGGCTGATTGGTGGCCTAATGCTTAATTGAATTATTTCATTTGTTCAAATTATTGTTCAATCATAAAGTATATAACTTTCTTTAGACCATATTTGTTCTGATTTGAAATGTAATGGAACTTGAATTGCATCACAGGAGTTATTATATCTACAAATTCATTTTAACAAAGTATTGTATACGCTGAAAACACGAGAACAAGTGATAAACCTGATGAAACAAATATATATCAAACTATGGTATAAGAGGAGGGACTGTTTGTTTGTTGGTTTTGGTTGAGTTTTATGTCATAAGGAAAGGGGACACTGACAAAGCCCCTTAATTTACTCTATTCATTTAGATATAATTCGTTTTGCTTAAAGTAACATGCAATTATGATGAAACAATTAACAGAGCATAACAGAATATAATCTTAGTTTGACATGTAATTGATACATAATCATACAAAATTACATATATGTGATTTATTGATCAATATAATATATGTTCATACAAACTTGTAAAACATCAGTATAAATATCACGTAAATATCACGTAAATATGCCGTTATTTGTTATTTAAATGTGATTTCAAATAAAAGAATAGATGTCATGTTGTTGAGGATGTAATTAAATGTACAATACAAGACAGGTCTATGTCTCACATATTAAAGGGATAGATGTATCATTTCAAATTGCATTAAGACTACATACTTAATTGACAGACTTAACAATTGATACAATTGAAAATGGAAAATTTCTGTAATTATACCTTTATTTAATATTATACTTTTCAATGAAATATTACAAAATATTGATTAAATAATTTGCAAATTTTTATTTCCACTATTTTCACTGTACACAATAGTTATTTTTTTTTGCAGTGAAATATATTTTCCGTATTTTGGCTGGTGTCTTTCCGGACTACTTCCTTCTAAATGCAGCCACTACACAAAGATAAAATGGAAGTCTTTTGAATGGAAAGGTAAAAAATGTACACAATTATCAGAAAATTTAAGTGTTTCTATAAATACAGGATTTATTTTCATATCGTGGTTTTAAAATTATCATATTTCACTCGTGACTACCACCATTCGTGAAATATTTATTTTTCAAACCACTCGATGAAAATAAATCCTATATTTATAGAAAAAGAACTTGAAAATCCTTTATTTATTTTATTCATTTTGCTAGATTAAGAAATATATTCATATTACTATTACATATTAGTTTTAAAATAAATCTTTTAGAAGGTCTTTTATCCTCAACTTGACATGTCCGGGGTCCTTACTCGACAGCGCAAGCTGCATTTTGGGCCCGAAAGGGCGGATGGACCCTCATTAAGCATAGATTAGAAGAAGACGAAAAGTCAATTGATACGCTATAAATAAACCACAGTACCAGCTCGAATTCGCTATTCCTTTCATTATCTGTTTACATCAATATTGACAAAAAGGGGTGTCGATAATTCTGATATAAAAGCATAGTATTACAATTATTGCTACCAAAGCAATTACTTATTTTTTAACCGTTCAGCGTAATAGCGTAGTCGTTGAGTGTTGGCTTCGTCAGTGTAGAGACCGTGGTTCGATTCTTGGAAAAGGCATTTTTTCTTTTCTTTTATTTTTTGGTTTTTAGATATTTTTCAAAGAACTGGATTAGTTCTTCGTGAATTTATTTCACACAATTCTATTTGGGAACATTTGGTTTAACACACATTCGCTTTAACAAGTAAAAATAGAGGCAACAGAGTTGTTATTATAGTGATAAATGTGGAATGTAAGAAATTTTAATATATAGATATACAAATGAGCCGAAATTGTTTAAAAATGTAGCAAACTGAAATAGAATTTTGGAGGAATTTTGCTAAATCGTTATAAGTTTAACTTTAAATTGTACAAAATATTAAATTAATCACAAGTTTATAAAAGTTTTCTGAATGTAAAAACCATACAGACATAAAGAATATTGTACAATTCCAGATTTTAACTCGAAAAGACATGAACTCTTCGTACGTGTCATAATCTGAACTCTCTAACCACTACGCTACTCGGATTTACGTGCCTATATCCAATTTAATTCTTCTTAATTGCAGCAAAAGTGCAAAAAGTAATAACTGAATAACTTGCACAACCCATTATATCATAATGGTTTGACCGATTAATGTAAACGTTATCGTGTTCGACTTTTTTTATATGTGACGTCACTAGCGACAATATGTAACAGGCACAGAACACCTGAGAAAACTAATGTATCGAATTTAATACAAGTCTTATTATTGTTTTGTAACCGGTATGTTAAAGAAATCGATTCCTTTTGTGCATTAAACCTGGAAATTTTTCTTTAAAATAAAAATCATTTATTTATTTACGAATGTGGTTATCTTAACTATTTTGTATTCCGTATTGATCCATGATTGTTTACAAACGTTTTAGTGCATTTTACATTTAATAAATAAAGTAGGTGTAATAAAGGAAGTGACACATTTTACAGAATGAGATATGAGTGATTATTGGATTGTAGTATTTTTACTTTTCGTTGGAAAAAATACAGCCGATGGCATTGTCGTGTGTAAGTTATTTACCCGTGTATTTTGATATATGTACATGAATATAGTATTAAAAATCTTTCTTTTAAAGGTCAAAAATATGATATAATGTACTTTCGTTACATCGTGTTAAATGCTACAGTGTGTGCAGTCTTAATCATTTACCTGGCTGCATTTTTGTAATGAAGTTGCCTCTTTTTTAATTTTATTTTTCATATTTAATTATCATCAAGTGAATCATTAACTATATTTATATAGTACACTTTATAACTCTTAACCTGCCGGAACCAAAGTTGATCAGCTTTTGCTACCAATCAGTAAATGAAGTATAGAGCTAGGTCAGCCTGGACATCCTTGCAGTCTCAGCTCTACAGTATACAATGCTGACAGCTAACTTTTGGGTGAAAGTCGGGTGGTGGGCGGGCGGGGAACAAATTTTAAAACAGTTTTCTCAGCAGCTACTTATCACAGTTTCTTGATATTTGGCATGCATCATTAACATGTGGTCCCATACCGTGGGATTCGATTTCAGGTTTGTCGCTTATCCACTTTCAGTTAAATTTTCGACATTAATGGTCAATGGTAGGAAATTTCGTAACTACTCACCACAGTCTCTTGGTATTTGACATACAGTATTGACACGGGGTCTCATGCCGTGGGAATCGATTTCAGGTATTTCGCTCATCCACTTCCTGTTTACCAAGTTAAATTTTCCACATTAATGGCCAATGGTAACTTTTTTTCGTAACATCACAGCCTCGTGAATGATATCTGGTATACAAATGCAACCCGGCCTTCTCTGTCGTTGGCCCATTTTTGTATTTTGATTTTAAATTTCAGATGTAAAATCATCAATGATTGTCTCTGTTCTTTCAAACAGCTAACGGAATTTTCGTGAAATTTAAATGTATTATCTGCAAGTATATAATTATGTACTGTGTTACCTTTAAATACCGACTAGGCAGTTTATATTTATATCATTTTTTACACAGTTACACCTAAGCTTTAAATAACATGGCACCGACTTATATGACAGAACTGATGACTTTATCCGACAACAAAATATATAACTTAAGATCTAGGTCACGAAAAGATATTGTATTATGGACAAGACCTAAAACAAATTATATTAAAGACACATTTTCTTATTATGGCATGAACATTTGGAACAATATACCTTTAAATATTCGTAATGTTAATAACCTTAAATATTTTAAAGAAAAATACAAAGCATATCTTGATGTTCATATGAGTGAATGAATGAGTGAATGAATGAATGAATAAATATATGAACGAAGGAACGAATGATGCAATATACGTATATGTTTAAACAAATTGTTGAGTGTCTGTCGAAAGTATATGAGTTGTATTATTCTAAAAATTACATATTATACATTCATTTTTCTACCTATGCATATCCTGTTGTTGTTGTTGTTGTTGTTGTTGTTGTTTTCTATTTTAGAAGGCCACATTGGAAATAAGATATATATGATTGTTATTGTATGTTCTTAATGTGTAACCTTCTTTAAATAAAGATATTATTATTATTATTATAAGCTTAATTTTATACTATGAAAAAAGCAGTATCATGTATGATACTTACTATTAATGAAATTTCAACTACTGAGTCTTTTAAACGTACAAATATGTAACATACTTCTCTGTATATTTTTTTCAGATTCTGGTTTGGATAAATGCAATATGTCATTATTACTAGACATGAGATATCACGCAGCATTTATTGACTTCAATGTCACTGAGACGTCGGTAAAACAGTATCGCAAAGGATGTAACTATTTGGTTAAAACAGCAGACACGCCCTTCTTTGGAATGAAAGTTGTATCGGATTACAGAGATGATAGTATCAGTGGAATATTGAACTGTTCGTTTGAAATGTCTCTCTCTGGAAACAGAGTCAACAAAACGGTCTATAGAGTTTTCCCTAACAACGAAATTAAAATGAACACGTACGGAAATGTTAATGTTGAAATTAAATTTGACAAATGTATGAAAAAATCATACCATATTAATTTCTTTCGTTTGTTAATATTTAAATACGGTGAAGTAAATTGCACCTCTTTTGAAACAAGGTGCTTAAATGGAGCTCGGTGCGTACAAGCAGATTTGGCCTGCAGTGATGTGTATGATTTTTGTAACAATGATTTCAATAATTGTAAAAGAAACTCGGGCACTACAACCAAACGTTATAAACGAAGAGGTCCAACATCTGTACGTGGAATAATACTAGGTTGTATATGTTTAACTGTGCTCATTTTATTCCTATTATATATTATTGTGTGCCGTAAGCGACCTTGGTGGAATCGATTTGTACAGAAGTTGTGTCGTCTGCAACCAAGGGGGAGAAGATGCGTTCCGAATGAACGATATACATGTAGAACTAATCAAATCCACTTAAATACTAATGATTTTCAAGATCCACCACCAAGTTATACAGAGCTGGAGCATTGTCATCATAATCTCAACGTCCATGTACAGCCGCGTTCCGAGACCGGAAATAGTTCATTGAATATCCCACCACCCTTGTATTCATCTGAAAATACGGACGATGATAGCAATGTGGCCAATGAATTACCACCACCATACTCGACGGTGTTTATGTATACGGATGGGGTCCAATATATGTGAACTAACTTCAAAATATGTTAGGGCTTTTAGAGAAGTTGGGATAGCAGAAAGTGAAATCCATTCATTAATTAGTTAAACATTTGAACTACTAGTATATGCTCTAATAGGTCTTGCCACTGAAAGTGCCTTCATTTCAGATTAGTATAGCACATATTTACAAAATGTATCTATAGAATTATGCAAAGAGATCAACGTATCCTTGTGTCCCTCATATCCTATTGATCCTTTAGAATAATGTCTTTGTTAATTTTGTATGTCAGCGTGGTATTTGCGTGCACGGTTAAATTATTAGAAGCTTTAGGCATGATACAACATATTATTTCATTAAGCTGTGGATGATGCGCATGTATATTGTATCTCTTCAAACGACATAGTAACGTAGCAACAAAGCTAGTCATGCAGTTACTAACTTTTAGAATCTATTAAATCTTTCATTTGTATTTGGTCAAAATATATCATAACATGTCTGATCGGTATTTTCTTTGATTGTATTTATATTTTAAATTACATGTCATTTTCACTTGTCAAAACGAGATAATACATTAATCACAGCATGTACATGTACAAATACACAAATGTTTGTGTATTCATAACATTTTGTTATGTTAGAGATGTTGTTTCTATTGACAATGATATTTTTATGCATGTAATAAAATATAAACACGTTGATTTTCATTTATTCTTTCAATAAAAACTATTCAAAATAAATAAAATAACAGATCTAATAAAGGTATTATTTATGTAAACGAACCTAACGTTTCAGACACTGTGAGAAGCTGTGGTAAAGCTCATGCCCGAACTTAACAATATTTTTTCTTATTTTGGAGATAAAAAAAAACTTATACATGTAAATATATTTAAATAACAAAATGTCTAAAGTTGACCAGTTCATTCACTGGTTATTTATAAGTTATTGGTCATATATCAAATTTAATGGAATTTATTGCTATAAGTTTCATAAAAATATAATACATGTATACGTATTCCACTAACTTGCTTATAGTTTGTCAGGTGCATGCACGCACATCGGCATGTTTTATGAAGTCTTGATAAAACCTGCACTTTTGTATGATTTACACTTCAAGCGCATTAAAATATGTCTATTGCCTGGCAAACACGTCGTATCGAGGCATTTTCAAATATATAATAATAGTTCAGTGAGTCTGGGGAAAAATACTTCAGAATTAAATATTGTAGAGTTATTAAGATAACTGTCTTATTAAGATGTTAAGACATCGTTTTAAAACATTATTTATCCTTTTTGTTTACAATGTCAATTCATTAGAAGGAAATACTTAATCAGATGAAGCAAAAGTACATAATGTTTACACATGATAAGCGCTATCTTATCTGCCCAACTAGGAAGGTGCACGTGTCGCACTTTTATCTTGTTGATAGTTGTGCAATGGTATTTTAACCTTTTACCCCATGAGTATATTGCGAAAAAGGGCCGTTTTCATTGAAAAGCCTCCTGTGATAAGTTCAAACTGCTATGAAAGTATGAAAAATACTTCAGTACTCATGAAACTTGGCACAAATGTTGACTTGTCCATATCCTGTGTAACAGCATGCTCAATCGTAAATTTCATGTTACCATGGCAACGGGGGGACGTCTCAAAATTGCCAAAAATCACTATTTTGCATTGTTTTTTTTCCCATCAAAACTGATTTCAAAGTGCTGCAACTTCTCAATGAATTGAGATAGAGTAAAAGGCTTTTCAAGATCGGTTACTAGTTACCCTAAGATCGACCTGATGCCATTTTTAGCCTGTCACATGTCCAAAATTTTCTTGGCGATGAGCTAGGGGGACTACCGCCCCCTGCAACCCGCC